CAGACGCTCCCTTAAAGTCTAACAAACAATTTTGGTCTAACCCAGTTATGTCAATATGAAACAAAGACTTTATCTTGGATCTAATTTAGCAGTTTTGCTCTACAGAGATAAGTCCACATCATGATCAATGGGACCGTAAAACTCTTGATGCAGTTTGTAACCTCTCCTCACGGGTTTGCAAAATGACATGAAGCTCACCAATTTAAAAAAAATAAAAATAAAAAAAAAAGGCATTTCTTTCATATACACTGTGATATATTCAGATTTCTTTCTAGTCAAATTTTCTTTTTGATCTGCACAATTAAAACAGCCTCTCAACAATACACCAAATCCCCCATTTCTTGTACATTTCCCTTGTCTTTGAACATGAACAAAATCTGAAGAACCCACATATTCCCTCTGGAGTTCGATTCCCTCGATCTAACACTTCACATCTCAACATTTCATGCAACAACTACTGCCAAAGGGCTCAACTATGGCATCTTCACAAGGATGCCACAAAGAGCCCAACTGCAGGCACTGACTTGGGCACAGACCAGAATCTAGTCCAAATTTCTTTTGCCTATCAAACCTTTTTATGTATGAAAAAAATTATATTTTTCACTTGCAGGCATTTATTTGAATAAAATAACAAAACAGAATATAAAAAAAAAAAAACCAACATTTTTTTTTTCCAAGGAAAAAACCCTTCTCTCCTTACTTGGTGGACACATGGCAAAACCAGTATTTATCTGAATTCTTCAGAAAGCTTGAAGTGACACTTCATAATTACAGTATAGTTCAGCTCAAAGACAAAGTGAAGAAAAGAAACTTCCCCATAATTCTTTACATAAACCTCCTCCTTCTTTCTCCACATACCAGTTGCGTTTTCTATTTCTATTCCAGTTTGTCATAAACACGGCCACCTTGTAACCCTTTTTATCAAGCAATCTATGCACTACCTAAAAGTACACTACACCCCATCAGACAAGCTATAGGTTTACATTATCCAAACATTCCGATTCTGCCTGCTCAGCGCAGGTTGTCAATAAATGCAAGCAATTGCAAAACACCAGTGTGTGTTTTTTTCCTTAAGAGAACACTGATAGGAGCCTGCCAGTTTTACAAAATAAACCCTTTGCAATCTCTGCAGCTAATCTGTCAACAAATTACTATTAAAGTCATACCTCCTCAAAGTTCAAAAGCATTCTGGATTAGACAAAGATACTGAGTTTTATACTCGTGGGGCAGTACTTGAAGTTAGAGTATCAAAGTGGATCTGGCTATTGATGTGGAGAGGTTTGTATTTCTGCCACCATGCAACACAGCACTTGGTGTCTTGCTGCTATACATCAGGATTCAACTTTGTAATCATTCTCTTTGTTCAATTCATAGTCTTGTTTCACTGCTAATAACGTGAAGAACACTTTAATGAATAGTCCTGAGGATAAAAATAAAATGCAATAAATAATATTTATTTTATAAGCTTTAAAAAAAAAAAAAAAAGAACTGTCTAGAACTGAGGCATCAAACCTTCTATCTGAGTAGACATCAGAAACCACTGAAGCAACTACAGCTGTGATCATGAACATTAAAAGGCAGTTTGTCCCTATGAGTCTTTATTTATTACTGCTTGGTAGGCAGGAGTCACCCCATCATTACATCCCTTATGCCCAAGCTTCCCTCGCCCAGCCTGACCTTCAGCTTGTGGGTCACTCCAACACCCATTCTGCACCTCCCAGATGTTTTCATGATGCCTCAGAGCCAGCAGATGTTGCTAGACTCTGCCTGGTACCTCGTTCCCAGGTTTTCTGTTCCGTCACTTGGTTCTGCCTCCGTGGACACTCTGGGACAAAGCTCCTGAGCCCCACTACCTGACCCCACACCAAATCCCAGCTTCATCTCTTCAGGAACTACAGTGATCCAGGTAACCTTCACACCTACTCCAGACTGCTCACCAGACCCCTGCCCATTCAACCTCATCCTGACAGTCACTGCCATGAGATGCAGACCTCTGGGACCTGTGGAGTCAGCAGCAGTGGGAAGGCCACCTCTCCCACCCCCAGCAGATGCCAAAATACTACGAGAAGAAGTTCTCTTTCCCTTATACTTTGGTTCTGAGGATGATTTCTATATGCATTTCCACTTTTACTCTTCCACAGACATACCATCCCTGAAGAGTCACTTGTATTGCTTTGCCTTTCTTACTTTACCAATATAAACATCAGCTGGAGTTACTTGGCTTTATTATAAATAGCATAACTCATCCCCACATTTGCTACTCCCAGCTTAACAGTACATTTTATGAGATTGCTAATGCTAAAATAATTGAGCATCACATCACTCTCTGTCTCCTTGCATGGCAGGATCACCCTAACATGACATGGGAAGCATAAAACTTGTCCTACAAGTCCTCCCTGTACTCACAGAAAGAGTGATCACACCATACACTTCTCCTGCAAACACATGAACAGCTGTGGTGCTCCATATTTTTCCATGGTAAAATATTTACAAGTTAGCAAACCCATTAAAACTTCCTAAAAAAACCCTGAAGTATTTCTGTTTTCCTCTCTCATAATAACTAAACTATTAGTCCTAATAAATTCATAAATGTCACCAAAAATGTGACCCTAAATTCAGCACAGATGCTTTCACAAGCCTTTGTACATGCAGGTTTCACTGTTCTGCCATGTGATCATGGGAACACACAACTAAACACAGCAGCAAAGCTCAAACTACCCACCACCGATTTTTTTTTCATTTTTTTTTCAGACAAAACAAGTGCCAGGTGGCAAAATGAAAAGATTTGAATGAAATGCTCTTAAGAAATAGCTGTTTAATTCAGAACTCATTCATTTGTATTGAAGGAGTGTTTTGTAGAACGCATTCTGTTAAGTGACCTGAGAGCATATGTTGTATACGGAGAAACATCTAAACATTATGCTCCATGTTGTATGTGTATCTGTAAATGCTTGCATTAGCTGTCTGAAAACAACGGGGTTTTCTTCTTTTCAGCGTTTAAAAATGTTTTCCAAACAGCAAGATTGATATTTTTATGCTAGTTCTGATTACCCTTTTATTGTTATCAGGATTTGGTTTGTTGGTTGTTTTTTTTTTTAATAACTGTTTTAAACTTTGCAATCAACTTGCTTTATAAAAGATAAACTCCATGAAGAAGTTAGTCATCAAAACCAATTAACAGCAGAATTCAAACACAGAACATAAAGGTCTTTGAAGAACTTGGAGAAAAGCAAGATCCCCAACCACACTGGCTGTACTGGCAGAGGATAAATAAACTGCAAGCTAAAATCAGAGCAGTGTGAAAGCAATCCCGAGCCTGGCAGTCCTGTCCCCAGCCCTGAGCACTCTGTGCTCTGTTTGGGGAGGGCTGGAGGACTGGGAATGAATGGGTGCCACTCCTTAATTGACAGGATGGGCAGCTGAGTGACACCAGCCGTTACATGCGAGGTGACAACATCATCTGAGACATCCTGAGCCCTCGGGATGGCCACCAGCCCTCGGGATGGCTATGGAGAAGCCCTGGCACAGGGTTAGTTAGTGGTGGAGGAGCAGAGGTCTGAGCCATTCTGGTCCACAGCATGCACATTTCTGCATGATCCCCCCCTCCCTGTTTCTCTCTGCACAAAGCCTCACTAGAAAATTCCACAGTGCTCCTATGGAAAACACAGTGTAATTAACTCATTTTGATACGAAGCCTTTTTTAAGACGAGACCTTTGCGTTGAACGTATTTTACTGTTCCACTCCTCTTCTACTGTCCTATATTAATCAAAGCTGTAACCCCTGTTGTCTTTGCACTACGAATCAGAATGTGCCCCTGGCAAAGAATGAGGGAAAAGTCAACAGGAATTAAGTTTCAGTGCAACTGTTTACTCAACTGTGGCCTGCAGTTATTGAAATTTTATCCGTGGTTTTGTGTGACTACTGCAGTAATGAATTCAGCATGGCTGTGATTTTCTCACTGATGGTATTCTCACTTCAAGTAAAAACCTGTAGGACGAAATTATTGAAACAACCAAAGTCTGTGCATTTAGTATCATCCATTTTTCTGACTTCTTTAATTATGGCAGCTTTCTGTCTTAGATTGGCAAATGGGGTGTCCTACTCCTCCTCAAGCCTTCACTTTGCTTTGTTTTTGAGCACAGGTTTTTTTCTTCTCCACAACAACCTGCTAAAAAGATCACTATACACTTAAGGGAGTCTTAACCAGCTGCCAATCGCTTATTTAAAAGGTTTTAAGAATCCTTATTGCATTAGAGAAAATGAGGGTTAGGCGTTAGTGCATTCACCGTGGCTCTGCTGCAGCCTTTGTTCCCAAACACATTAATGATACATGCCCAGCACTTTGGTGTAAAATTTCCTCAGAGGGCTTCAGAATTTTATCAGGGAAAAGAAAAAGCCAAAACGTATTATGTGGATAATTTACACTGGTGAATTTGGTCACTTCCCAGAAAATACGCTAATTAGAACACCAAGGCAAAACGCACAATTTGGTTCTGATTCTTCTGAGTTGAGGAACACTTACATGGATGTATTTATTTATTTATTCTGACATTTTGCGCAGCAGATACCTCTGCAGCCTTCCTCACTAATAGAAAACATTCTGTTGATAGAGGTTGCTAGGTTATACTAGAATTTGTTGCAAAACCAAAAAGTTAACGTTAGTGTATTTTCCACCCAGTGACATATTTTGGAAACCAGTTATTTGTATACAGCAGTTCACCCAATTGCCGCCACCAGACTCAACACACTCAGGCAACGGAAGCAAGCCCTGATCTTTGGGTGTTTCCAGGGAATGATTAAAAAGAAGCCCCGGAAGAGAAGTCCAAGGTTTCCCTTTACACCAACGACCGCAATCCCCTACGGGCAAAAACGCACAGGATGTCACAGGCGAGTCCTAAAAGCATCCTCTGCCTGGCAAGTACAAAGGGTTTGGGAAGGGGGGGTTAAATCCTTCATGCTTTTCCTGTAGGTAGGAAACTTGTAATGCATCTTACAGTACCTGCTGTTGCTGGAGATGTGCTAAATCTGCAGCCCCAATTTCAACGGAAGGTGTCTCGCCGTTTGATCTCACTTCCCGCAGGCTGCACTCTAGTAAATGGTTGCCACCGCTCGCTCCATTCTGAATGGCTGAACCGTTACTTTTTGTCTCAGTCCCAGATTCTTGCATCATGACTCAAAAACCTGAAATAATTTAGGGGAGGGGAGGGGGAAAAAAAAAAAAAAAAAAGCAGCTGTTAAAACAGTTGCTGTATATAAGGAGACATGCCCTGTTTTAAATCCTGCCAAAACTGTAAACATATGTCATTTTCCTTCATACGATTTATCTTTCATTAATGGTTCATGCTACTAGTTTATGTTTATTTATCCATTGGTACAGCTATAATTTTAGTAAGTTAGTTCTCTTCTAAATATAGTATTATTTGCTCAACATCTTTTTTCCCTTAGAGAAAAAAAAATATTTTTGAACGAACACACAGAATCCATAATTAAATTTCTCTAGTTACATCTGGATGCTTTCCTTTGAAACGGATGAGTCATTCTTGGCAACATATGATGGACAATATCAAAAATGTGATATACACTGTGTAGGGGCACGGAGGTGAAGCAGAGCATTTGCTATTTTGGTTTTCACTCATACCATGATAGTGCCAAATTAGCACCTTTTATTACTCTGAAGCAATTTAGGCTTAATCTGGGATGTGCTGAACCATCATCAGTTTTCACTTCAGGAGAACTGCTACAAATGCTCACAGAATTAGGCTTGTTGACAGAATTTTTGGCTATGGATTTGGTCTGGATTTGGATGCTCTTAGGGCATTACAGTGAGGAGCCTCTTGTGTTATTTGGTTAAATATCATCTCAGCAGCCACAGCTCCCTCCAGCCAGCCCTCCCAACTGGCTCTTGGTGTCAGCCTGTCCCTGGATGTGTTCACCAAGACTGTCAGTGGGTCACAAGCCTGCAACGAGGATGAGGACAAAGAGCCACCTCCTTACCCCAGAACCCCAGGGATTTACCCACCCTCAGAACTAACATCAGCATTTCTGCACAGGACTCCCCACACAAAGCACACACGCCAGTTTTCAGCTGCAAACCACTACCTCGGAGAGAATATGATGACTTGTTTTATAAGTAGTTCCACCTGCAAAGCCCCAGCTTCCAGGATTTAAATGCCATTAACCTGTCTGGCTTCCACCAGCCCACTCCTCCTCTTCCCCTCAGCCAGGAGAGATGGGGAATGGAAAGCCAAGCTGTGTGTTCCAAGCACACTGCCCACCCCACAGTGACAACATGGACATGTGAGCCAAATGCCCCTGTGCAGGGTAGTTCACCTCAGAAGGAAGATGCTTTATCTTCAAGGAAGAACCCGTTTGAATTCAGTAAACCAAGCACATGGATGATAGTAGGACAGATTCAAACGTTTTGATCACATTCAAATAAATTTCATCTGGTCTATGGAAACTTGTTTCAATCTGTTTTGTTAAATCTTCAAATTATGCCAGGGGACAAAAGGGTTTGGAGACTCATTATAAAGTTTCTGTCAACTCCTCTGTGAAAGCTCCAGAGATCTAAACAAACCTAGCTTTCCCAACACCACTAGGAAATGCTTTTGGATTTTTTAACATGATCCTGCTCTGATACACACCAAGTATGGTGTGTTTTTCATTTTCAGCACTGTAAGGAAAGCCTATAAGCATGATAAGGTCTAAATAAGTGTTTACATCTAACAGGCAAGGCTGGATTACACACCAGGCAGCGACTGCATGGCACAGGTTGCTTTGGAAGAAGAGAAAGGAGTTCGAATCCACAGACAGCACCCAAGTCACTCAAAAACACACCAAGCAATTTTTATATGCTAAAAAAAGGATTTACCACTTTTACCCCATGACAAATAAAGAAAGAACAGATGTTATTGTTTTCTGCTTCCACTAAAATCTAGAGTCAGGTCTCAACTGGAGAAAATGGAGCACTACATTAATTTACCCCAGCAGCAGATGAGGACAAGGATGACCACCAGGAAAGACTGGATTAGAGGGTTAAACCCAGAGACTCATGCCTTTGGCTGTTTTGGAGCATGACAGTAATGGTGGGTGGCACATCCCCCCCTCACAGACCGAAGCTGATGGAGGAAGGACGCACTTGAGAATTGGTGGAAGGTGCCTCCAGCAGCCACTGTGGTGGAAAGGGATGCTAAAATCCATGTGCCAGAACAGTGAAAAGGTACATCTCATTTTCCAGCACTTCTGATGCAACAAATGGGAAGTGAGAACCTGAAGAAAAAAGCAGTAGGGTCAGAGGAAGCACCAAGAAAAGCTCTGACAGCAGCAAGAAGAATGTGCACCACTGAGGAGCAGATCCATCACTGACTGATCACGATTTGTTGGCTTGCCCTTCTGAGCGCAATATCTCCAGGACACAGAAAATAATTCACAACCAAACTGGTCAAGAAATTATTTATTGTCTCTAGGACTGCAAAATGGTCCTGGAAAGAAAAAACAGTAGAAACTGCAACAATTTTTCTAACCTATAGGACTAAGAAAAAGTTGGATTATTTATTGTATTTGGTCAGAAAAAGATCATAGTTCTTGAGAGCCTTTTCTATGACAAATTTCATGCTCTGTTTTACCTTTTGAAGAACCCCAGCCAGTTACCAGCTCAGCTGCACAGGGCCACGGCCCCTCCACTGGACCCTATGGATTCCACCAGAACTGGCAGCAGCTACCAAAGAAATGAGGCTGGAAACAGAATTTGCCGAGAGACCACGTTTAAACTTTCAAAAAAATATATTTTAAAAGCAGAAGTGAACATCTTTAAGCAAATTTTGCTTTAAAAACACCAATTTACAAGCAGTGAACTTCAACATAACTTAAACTATATGCCTGTACAAAACAAGAGTGCTCTGTTAAAATACCTCCGATAGAAAACTGGTATTTCAAGGGAAAAAAAGATAAAACTGTTTATTCCTTCACTAAAGTCAAATGTGAGTTGACATGAATAATCACAGTTTGGTTTGATCATTAAGTGTCATGTCATGAAAAATCAACCTGTGAGAGCTTTCTGCAAGAATGATTATTATTTGTCTTTTTGAGCACACCTAAATGAGCTGAGATGATCGTACACCGAGGATGGCTGAGATAATTGTCTCTTCCCAGCAAAGAGGAGATGAACTTACAGGAGCCTATTACTGAAGTTTGTCATTCAAAATTGTGAAAGAAAAATGCAAAGCAAGGTTGACTTTATGCAACATAATTAGGTTCTGTGGGAACTGAACTGAAACTCCAGGTGAAGTATCACAAACCGTGATTCTGGTCTGAATACAACCAACACAGTGCTGGAGAAGCTGTTATGCATAATGATTTATTATAAAAAAATAATAATACTCCACAACTGCTTCCATGACAGGCAGGAGACCTGGTTCTGACTGAAGAAATTTAATGGTAAACGAACCCATGTCCATTTCATGTGTTCTAGAAAGCAGAATGATTCTCTTATCAATTCTGAAAAGAAAAATGCATTTTTAAAGCTTAAAATATGTGGGTTATTACCAGTGTTTCTTATATATATATATA